TATCTGGGAGACCTGGGTTCGAATCCCTGCCAGCTACGCTGCTGTTGTAAGTGGGGGGAGGTAGGAGGCTGCTGGGTGAACAAGTGCTGGAATGTTAACTTTCATTTCTTTCCCTGTGTCTTATCTTTTAGCCTGGGCTCATGACCCGTGTTCCCTCTAAGCTGAGTTAGTGTGAGCTAGCTCACAGTTCTTTAGCCTCCGGCTCACACATTTTGGTCTTAGCTCAGGAAGGATGGCTCCAAAGCAAACTAATGTATGCAGTAGCCAAACAGCTCACTCACAACTTTAATGCCAGTAGCTCACAAAGTAGAATTTTTGCTCACAAGGCTCCACAGGTTAGAGGGAACATTGATACCTTGCTCCTCTCGCTCTGCTGGGAGTATGAACCCATTAGTTCAGGCGCGCTGCAGTCCATCCCCTGATTGGTCCGAATCCATCAGGGGACCCTGTGAGGTCCTTGCTTATTGGGGAGACTGTTTTACCTTTAAACCACCCTGTGTGTACCTAAACTTGGCAGATTTCTGCTGCCACCAGGAATTAAAAATTCCAAATCTCTCTCTTTTGGTAGTATGACCTGGGGTCTAGGCACTTCAGAGGACTATGTGGCCCTGAGGAAGTACTGTACTGATTTCTGGGATAAGTTTAAACAAAAAATTATTTAATAACAAAATAGGTTTCTGGTTATTTTGAACAGTTGCTGAAGAAAGGAGCTTGTAAATATAACTGGCAAAGCTTGGTGTTACAAACAGTCTCTCAGCCTCCAAACTCCACTCTGACACTCAGTACACACTCTCTGTCTTATATGTAGCCACACAGGCTAGTCTCTTTGTTTTATTCACACTGAATAGAATCAACTCTCTTAGCCACACAGACTAAACTGTTGGTCTTATTCACACAGAATTGGACTCAAAATTCCATAGTCACACAGACTACTCTCACTCTCCAAACTTTACACACAGAATCACCTCGTAGACACCCCCTCCTCCCACACTCTCAGTCATCAGCCAGTCACAGCACACTTGTCTCCCTCTGTCACTCTCCTTACAGTACTGCAGTCAAACTAAACGTTTAAAGGAACACACACACCAAAACATGGAATCATCACAGACCCCCCCCCTTTGAATCCTGTATAACTTCCCCCTTTCCCGCCTGTGGAGTTAGATCTAACACTGTATGTATGCACAGATGACCTGCTTTTACTGTACTCAATAAACTTGGTCCTTCTGAAGGAACGTTGTTGAGACAGATTGCTGCGGGACTCTGACAATCCCCACTCGTGCTGTGGAAGCGCACTGAATGGCCTTGGGCCATTCACACACACACACACACACACACACACTCTCTCTCTCTCTCTCTCTCTCTCTCTCTCTCTCTCTCCCTCTCTCTCTCTCTCTCACACACACACACACACACACACGCAAACGCACACACACAGGGTTGTTGTGAGGATAAAATGGAGGAAAGGAGAATGCTGTGAGTGGCTTTGGGGAGAAAGGCAGAGGGTTATCAATGAATTAAGTAAATAAATACAATATGCTAAAGCTCAGAATTTGGATACTTAGGGACAGGCAGTCCTAGCCCCGATATTTCCTTTTAGTAGCCATTTTCCAACAGCCAGCCTCCCAAAAGTGCGGGAACGCATTCCGTGAGCCCAAAGACATTTGTTCTCAAGTATTGGGCCCCTTCTTTACCCAGCAAAGAACACTCTCTGCAGGGGGCTTTGGAACATAAAAGGTTAAGCCAGTTTGGTGTCGTGGTGAAGTGCGCGGTCTCTAATCTGGGAGAGCCGGGTTTGATTCTCCACTCCTCCACTTGCACCTGGCTGGATGACCTTGGGCAAGGCATAGTTCTGATAAGAGCTGTTCTTGAAAAAAGATCAGTTTCTGTCAAGAGCTCTCTCAGCCCCGCCTACCTCACAGGGTGTCTGTAGTGGGGAGGGGAAGGGACAGGAGTTTGTAAGCCGCTCTGAGACACCTTTGGGTAGTTAAGGGCGGGGTATAAATCCAATCTCCTCTCTTCTTCTCTTCTTAATTATCCCTGGAAAAGGGTTTTGGTCTTTAAGATGATCAGCTCAGGTTCTGTTCTTCACGCTGGTTGAAGGGTACGGGGGGGGGGGCAGGTCAGTTTCCCTTTTTTTAAAGGCAAAGTTTTGCTGGGTATAAAGTACGAAAGCGCTGCTCAGAACCAGGTCGCTCTTCACTGCCCCTCTTTTTCTTGCAGTAGAAAAGAGCAAGAGTCCAGGAGCACCTTAAAGATTAACAAAATTTGTGGCAGGGGAGGAGCTTTTGTGAGTCGCTGCTCACTTCTTCAGATGCACCTAGAATGTGACTCCCATCTGTCTTTCTGTCCAAACACGCTTGCTATGGTCGTTCACCTGCTATTGTCATTTGCCTGCCATTTGTCATTCGGCATCTGAAATCGAATTGCGGTGCTGGAGAAGACTCTTGAGAGTCCCTTGGACCGCAAGGAGGTCAAATCAGTCGATCCTAAAGGAAATCAACCCCGACTGTTCCCTGGAAGGCCATATCCTGAAGCTGAAGCTCAAATACTTTGGCCACCCAATGAGAAGGGAGCACTCGCTGGAGAAGACCCCGATGCTGGGAAAGACTGAAAGTCAAAGAAGAAGGGGACGGCAGAGATGGTTAGACAGTGTGATCGATGCAGTGAACATGGAATTAAGCAAACTCTGGAGCACGACGGAAGACAGGAGGGCCTGGCGTGATGTGGTCCATGGGTCAGGAAGAGTTGGACTCAACTGTGTGACTGAACAACAACATCTGAAACCACTCCACTCTCCAAGATATGACGACAGACGGACTCACAGGCTAGCTGTATCTGAAGAAGTGAGCAGTGGCTCACGAAAGCTCCTCCCCGGCCACAAGTTTTGCTCATCTTTCAGGTGCTCCTGGACTCTTGCTCTTTTCTGCAGCTACAGACTGACTAACATGGCGACCCATCTTGATCTGCCTCTTTTTTTATTGGCACGGGTGGAAAGCGGGGCGGGAAGCAGCGGCCGTTCCCAGGGCCTTGCGGATCTGCCAGTTCCCAGGGAAGGCCGCCATCTGGTAAGCGGCTGGAAAAGTGCTTTTCGGAACCTGCTGCCAACCGTTGCTTCAGACCAGGTGTCATTTCACATCAGCATAATGGGGCAGCATTCCCTTAGTGCACAGAGTCATGAAATGCTGCCTGGAGAAGCGTTGCAGGCAATGTTCCCTCTAAGCTGTGGAGCCTTGTGAGCAAAAATTCTACTTTGTGAGCTACTGGCATTAAAGTTGTGAGCAAGTGATTTGGCTACTGCATAAATTAGTTTGCTCTGGAGCCCTCCTTCCTGCGCTGAGACAAAAATGTCTGAGCCGGAGGCTACAAAACTGTGAGCCGGCTCACACTAACTCAGCTTACAGGGAACACTGGTTGCAGGTAATTGGCAAGGTGTGACGGCCAGGCTGGCTTCTCTATCCCATCGAAGACTCAAGGGGGCTCAGGAGCAACGCTCCCTCCACGCCGTGGAGTCTTGTGAGCAAAAATTCTCCTTTGTGAGCTGCTGGCATTCAAGTTGTGAGTGAGCCATTTGGCTGCTGCATGAATTAGTGTGCTCTGGAGCCCTCCTTCCTGAGCTAAGACAAAAAATGTGTGAGCCGGGGGCTAAAAAACTGTGAGTTGGCTCACACTAACTCAGCTTAGAGAGAACACTGCTCAGGAGCCGAGAGCAGTCCAATGAACAAAATACTTCCCAGTTTTGTCCCCCCCCCCAAATGTCACCTCCCAGCCATTCTGTTCCCTTAGGATTCTGCACCCGGCACAGATCTGTGCTTGCTCTGTCCCGGGAAGTAGGGGAGCCACCCGTGCTCCCTCCGAGCCGTGGAGTCTTGTGAGCAAGAATTCTACTTTGTGAGCTACCATCATTAAAGCTGTGAGCGAGCGATTTGGCTGCTGCACAAATTAGTCTGCTCTGGAGCCCTCCTTCCTGAGCGAAGACAAACAATGTACGAGCCGGAGGCTAAAAAGCTGAGCTAGCACACACTACACTCAGCTTAGAGCAGTGGTGGCGAACCTATGGCACGGGGGCCAGAGGTGGCACTCAGAGCCCTCTCTGCGGGCACGCGTGGCATCGCCCCAGCCAGGCCCAGACCATCATTAAAGTGACAAATTCTCTGCCAAATAATTTTCAGTAAATGAAAGCATTTGGGATCGCTTTCCTTACTTTGTTTGGATCAAAGTTAGTGTATGAGTTGTTTTTTTTCTAAAGTAAAACCTCAGTATTCAGGTTAGATTGCCATGTTGGCACTTTGCGATCAATAAGTGGGTTTTGGGTCGCAGTTTGGGCACTCGGTCTCTTTTTAAAAAAAAAAATAATAATAATTTTATTGGATTTCCCATCAAGTTTACATACACATCAATTACAAATTTACAAAGACAGCACTCTCAATAATACTAAAATATACAGTTCCAACTATAGCAGATCACCACATAGGTCATATATATCTTATATATCATTTGGTGCATTAGTAATTATTTCACCATAAATGTAATGAATCTATAATATCAGGGGGGCACTCGGTCTCTAAAAGGTTCGCCATCACTGGCTTTAGAGGGAATGCTGGACTGGCCACCACAGGCCAGTTGCAGCTGAGGGCCACACGGTCCGTGTTTGGAGCACCGTTCACAACAGTCCTTGCAGAATACCAAGTGGTGTCTTTTCGACCCCTGCTTGCAGGCAGCATTCAAGGATTAGCATCTGCTGGGCCTGGAATTTGAGCAATGCCGAGAATTGCTTTGGGGCGCTTGCTAATTCCTGTGGCTGAGCAAGGGGGGGAGGGATGAGCATGCCTTCCCCACCTGCTCTGCCGGTTGCTTAGGGGCTTGGGCTAGTGTCAGTCTTCCCTGGCAGGCATCCACCACAATGGGGTGCCCCAAGAAACAGCCGCGGCTCGTCCTAGACAGGAAAACGTCTGATTTAAGTACAGATAACCTAAGCACTTTTTCTTTGTCCCCTTCCGCAGAGCCGAGAGAACTGAAGTCCTCAGCGAAGACCTGCTGCAGGTACTGTAATTACATTCCTATGCTTAAAACAGCCTTTCAGGTCTTTTCCTTTTTTGCTTTTGTCTCATGGCGGAGGGGAAAACGGTGGCGGTGTTGTTGTTTTTACAAATGTTATTATTTTAGAAAAAAGAAACATACACGAGAGTAATCACATCATCATTGTATCGATTAAAATACCTCATACATCTATATATCTAATTCCCAACATGCCCCCTCCGTGCGGATGTCTAAATCAGCACATCAGGGGAACTTGGGGGGCAGGGAGGTTTTCCTGCACATTTGGGGCAGTCCCCATATGTGCAGAAAAATCTGAAAACTTGGGGAAAATATGGGGGGATATTTAAATCCTCCCCAAACGCTCTGAGAACGGCTTTGCCGCCGCGGGGGGGGGGGAGTTTGGCAGACCGAACTCAGGCCTC